GCCAGACCCAGCCTGGAGAAGTGCCTCAGAGCCCCCTCCTCACGGTGCATGGCACCCGAGATCTCTCCCTGAGCCAGAGTCTGCCAGAGTGTGAAGGCGTGAAGGAAACAGCTGTGGCCGGGACCGCGTGAGCACAGCGAGACCGTCGGTCTTGGTCTGAAGTCCCCCGGTGTACCTAGGGCTGCAGCCAGCACTGCATAAGAACCTGCAGAACTGTTCAGGAGCAGGACGGGTGGGTTCCTGATCAGCCCAGCAATGTAGGGCTGAGGGAGCAGGGACCTGCAGGGGCACGAAGTCGCCAGAACCAAAGCTGAAGTTTCCAAGTCACACTGCCCATGGGGCGCCTTGCCAAGGGGTGGTGCAGCTTGCCCAAGTGTGCTAGCCTGGGTAAGCCACGGTCCACCTCACCAGCCACAGGACAGCCACACCAGTACCTGGGATTCAAACAAAGAATCCCCGTGTCTTGCTGTAGCTGCTTCAGTGCTTTGTTTAGCAGTCACCATGGAAGTGGCTGGTTTAAAAGATGTCCACAGCCATTCCTGCTGGTGCCTGGGCTCAGACTGTAAGGGCCACCTCTGGGGAGGAGAGAATTTCTGGCCTGGACAGAACTGAGAAGCAAGTCCTGGCTCTCACAGACGTTCCTTCCTGCTCCTCCTGGATGCGGGACCGGGTGGCACAAGCAGCCCCTGGCTGCACGGTGAGCCCAGGGGCCACAGGGGCACTGAGACTCCCCTGCCCTCTGCACTTCATGCATCAAAACAGGTGCCTCAGCCATACATTCAGGGGCTCAGCGTGGCGTCTGCCCTGGCCCTCTGCACCTTTGCTCGGCTACTTCTGGTATGGGCCACTACCCCGCTCCAAACTCTAGAAAGCCCCAAGCTAAGCCAGACTGCAGATCCATCTGGCCCAGCCGGGCGGAAGGGCTCTCCCTGCCTGGACTCTAAGGCAGGCTGGCTTCTGTGAATTTCATGGCACCTGCCACAAACTGTCCTGTGCTCAAGGCCTTCTGGGTGCATATTTACCCCAAGCTAGCAACTGCTGGGGACGAAGTCAGTTTTTGTTTTTGAGAACGGGTCTCCTTGTGTGGTGCAGGCTGGGCTTGAACTCACTATGCAGTCCCAGCTGAACCAGGTGCAATCACCTCGCGCAGCCTCCTGGTGACGGGGTCACAGGCGCGTAGCACTGTACCTGGCGAGTCTTAAGATCTCAGGTCGCTCAGTGCGCCCAGCACGCCCCACAGAGCACTCTGCTGAGGCCTGAGAATAACCGGTTTCCAGGTTACCCATGAGGGGACGGTCACCGGCAGCCACGCAGTGGGATCTCTGTGAGCACGGCCTGTTCCTGCAACTTCCACCCTGGCGACCTTCCAGGTCCTTCCAGGACAGCCAAGTCCAAATTCCTGTGCAAACTATGGCAGAGAAGGGCCTAGGAGACACTCCCTAAGCACAGCAGAGAGCGAGAGTGAAGCTCAGAAGGCAAGCCCAGAGGGCTAACAGTGCCGGCCCTGAGCCTCTCACCCGAAAGGCCAGCCCCGTGCCATCGCACTGAAGGGCTAACAGCGCCTGCCCCCTTTTCCAACAGGCTCAGGCTATGCTGTGAGCCTGCGCTTGAACTTACCCTCGTCTTGCCTCAGCCTCCCAAGTGGCTGGGACTACAGATGCAGCAACCATCGGGCTCCGCTCAACTGCAGTTTCACTAACACTGGTTTTAAATCTGTGTCTGGACCAAGAACTCACGGCTAGGTGCTCCTACAGCGGTGAAGATGAGAAACACACTGTGGCAACCAGTTCTGTCCCTACTTCTCTACCAGAGGCCACCATCCCCACATTGAGCACGCAGAGAAAACTGCAGGTAGACTGTGGTGGCCAAGTCATGAGAGGCCACAGGCAGCGGTGTCTGCGGTCACAGAGGGCATCAAAGCGCGGAGCATGGAAACTGCCACGCTAAGTGCAGAGCTGCAGTAACCACCCTGCAGAAATGACAAAGATCAGGAGACCAAAGCCTAATAAGCACCATTTTCCAAACAGGGAACAAAGCAGATTCTAGAAACTACCCCTGTGAACTCCTGTGAAACTCCGGAAAACTGGCAGCATAGACTGTCAACATTTTGACCCATCTAATTCAACAAGGGAAATGCCAGCTCGGACCAACTTGCTTCTCTCTTTGGGCTGGGCTGCCATAGGGATGTGGGTGAAGACCGAGTCTGGAGGGCCCAGGCTCGGGCTTACGAGCCAGCCCTTGCGGTCCTGCTCAGGGGGCCCTAGGGACACCAGGAGCCCTGTAATGCAGGGCCTAACATTTACTCCAAGTTAAAAAAAAAAAAAAAAAAAAAAAAAATTAGCGTCAGGGAAGTAGCTTAGCAGCGTAGCACTTGCCTACCAAGGGCGAGGCCCAGAGTTCAATTCCCAGAACCAAAAAAAGAGAAGTTAGGGAAAAAAAAAAAAAAAGGTGAGTGGTAGTTACAGCAGTGTATTTAGGTCACATGGGAAGAATTAACCCCTACCCTCGCTTCTAAATCCACCACCAGGGCAACAGCAGGACTCACTCCTCCACTTGCCACCTGCTCAAGTGGCTGCAGCAGGGGACAGACTGCTTTGGGTGGGACAGGGGCCACACAGTTTGCTGCCTTGTCACAGTAGGCCAGCAGGAAGAGCCTGGTTTATGTCTGACATGAGAGCTCCCTGTGGGGACCCTGTGTAAATTCCAGCGCTGAATTTTCAAACAGAAAACCAACTAGCTTGTCACTGGACAAGAGCAGAGTCATGCAGGTGTGTGAGCACAGCCCCAGTGCTCAGCTCCAGCCAGACACCAGAGAGCCATCCACCAACCCAGACACTTCTGGGAAATGTGTGACTGGTTGCTACTGATCTTATTTTTAAGTCTAATTTTTCAGTTTGTCCTAGTCTTGAGAAAGTCCTCTTGTACCTTTGGATAACACTCCCAGTACACAGTGCAGGGTCCAGAGGCATTTTAAGGTGATGTTTACAACTGAAGACACCCAAAGGATCAAGTGTGGCGTACAGGCCAGGATCTGGGACCAGGAGTAGCTCTGGCACAGTGATAAAGCTCTGAGACCAAAGAGGGACCTCCCCCCACAAAAAAACCAAAACCAAAGAGGGCCCCAAGGGTATTTCTGCAAGGCAGAGCCAGCGCAATAAGGTCACAGGACATTTTCTAATAAACTTTTACTGAACACACCCCTGCCCACTCATTCACATGCTGCCTAAGGCTGCTTCTGCAGTCCACTGGCTATCTGTGCCAGAGACCTGACAAGGTGCGATGTTTCGGGATGGCTTTTAACAGAAAAATGCGTGGACCCCTGGTTGAGACGTTTAACAGCCCGGGGGAGGGGCGCGGGCTGCATTCAGGGAAGGAGGGACAGAGGAAGGTGGGGTGTGAGGTGACCAGTGGAAAGGCCTTCACATCTCAATTACTTACACCCTAAACTCCTAGGGGAGAGCGAGCTGGTTGGTTTCCTCCCACCTTTCACAACTGGGGGCACATAAACAACACAAAACAGAAGCACTGGTAATCAAAAATGTTTTAATGATTAATGTTTAGACATCATTGAACAGTGCAGGCATATCCACATGAGCTAAGCACGCTCCGACGGCACACTACGGAATGTCGTCATTTCCGGATGGAGACAGGGAAAGACATCTGCAGACTAGCACTAGGGTGGAGACACGCCACACAGGCACAGTCTAGCTGTAAGGTCCTTGTAAACAGACCTGCGACTCCTTCCAACAGAAAACCGACGAGACTAGTCAGAGCGCCAACTGGCTCTTCCACATGAATGTGCAAAATTAAAGCATAGTAAACGGGTATTTACATAAATATCAAACCCACAATTAGTTTATACATTGTCAATGATCTTCTTAGATGTCGTGAGTGGTTCAATGAAGTTTCTCAACAGAGAAGGTATTAGGCGGCTAAACTTCCACACCTGAATAAAATGACACATACCACAGTCCTTGTTTGACCACTTGCCTTGAGAGTGTGAAACACGATTTTATGGTAAGCAATCTATTCTTTAAAACACGCTGTTTTAAACACATCTTTAGG